ATCGATTATTTTAGTTTATAATTGATTATAAATAGTTGTAGGTTTCCTTGCTCAAGTGATGAATTTCTCGCTTGACGAGAGAGTTGACCACAAGCTAAAGCTCTAATGCAGTTAGCAACATAATGCAACTTGGGTCACCATATATTTCAATCACTTCTTGCTCGAGCGAAATTACCTATCGCTTGAGCGAAAAAACACCCGAGATTACCCATTAGTTTCAGGTCTCCTCGCTCAAGCGATGGATTCTCGCTTGAGCGAGAAAGAAATAATCGATCATAATTTTAAATATTCGATTATTTTAAAATTATTATCGATTATAAATTTCCTCGCTCAAGCGATGGATTTCTCGCTTGAATGAGAATTGATCATAGGCTAAAGGTCCAATGCAGTTAGCCAATCACTTCTCGCTCGAGCAAAATTACTCATAGCTTGAACGAGAATTGACCATAGGTTAAAGGTCCAACGCAGTTAGCCACATAATGCAACTTGGGTCACCACATATTTCAATCACTTCTCGCTCGAGCAAAATTACTCATCGCTTGAGCGAAAAAATACGTAAGATTACCCATTAGTTTCATGTCTCCTCGCTCAAGCGAAGGGTTTCTCGCTTGAGCGAGAGAACTTCTAGCTCGAGCGAGAATTAAATCGCTTGAGCGAAATTAAACCCCATAATACTCGTTAGTTTCAGGTCTCCTCGTTCAAGCGATGAATTTCTAGCTTGAGCGAAAGTACCATGAACAGTAAAGAGTGCTAGTTGGATAAATAATATTCCAGATGTGGTATTTTGGGAAATATTTTTTAAAATAGTATTATTTATGAAAAAAAAGTCAATGTTGGGTTATGCCTAAAAACAAGGGATATTTGTTTTGTATTTGTTTATTTTAAACTCTATTTAAAGAGTTTGTAAAATAAACCATAACTTCTCATCCTCCGAAAAAACATATCTTCTGTTTTTACAATTTCTACAGCCTCCACCACAAAAGTGTCTTTTTATTTTGACTTTACTATCATGTCATTCCTAATCACATGTTTGTTTTGATAGATTTGTCAATGTCCTTGAGGATGTTTTTTTATTTGGCCATATGATTACTGCATCTATTATCTAAGTACAAACTTTTGTTTGTTTCATCACTAGAGTCTCGGTTAACATAAAAAAAGATGTGGAAAGTCATGCTCTTCAATAAAATTTGTTTGATGCTTGATTTTGCTTTAACAATTATCCTTCACATCTAAACTTGTTATAATGTTAACATTGTGATTTTCCGTGATGCCAACATTATTTCTCCATATAACTTGACCTTTGCCGATATCACATGGAGAATATTTGTCTTGAGTTAATTTAGAGAAACTTCTAGAGTTTTATTTATTTCTAGAAATTTCTTCAATTTTCTTTCCTCTAGTTTGTTTGGAGACCATAATTTGAGTTTTGATTGAAATGTATTTCTGATAGAGTCTTCATTGTACCACTTCAATCTTTACTCATATGCTTTAATAGAGCTTTTTAGTTTTGCCACCGATAAGGCAGATAGATCTTTGACTTGTCCAATCATATTTACTATTATATCATATTTATGGAGAATAAAAATTAGAATTTTCTAAGCATTGTCTTGTCAAAAATATTTTCTTCGCATGTTCTTATTTAACTAACTATCTCTTTTATCTTAGTATAATAATCTTTAATAGATCAAGACTCCTTCATATTTAATAACTTAATCTCACATCTTAGAGTTTGAAGTTTAATAAAACGTATATTTACACTTCCTTAATATTTCTCTTATAATATACTTCGTACTTATTTGACACTTATGACATCCATTATTCTAAAAAAAATAACATTAATCAAAGCTTGTTGTATGAAATATAATATTTTTAAGTCCTTCTTTTTATTCTCCTTCAATTTCTTTTGAGCAATCATTAATATGAAAATATTTATAAGATTACTAAAGTCATGTTCTACATCTATAAATCTTGAAAACAAAAAATTATCTTTATTATAATATCCGATAATACTTACATGTCATAATGGTGACTAGTCTAGAATTTTTATGATAATTTTTTTAATTACAATTTTAAAATTTTGTAGCAAATTCAAACAATATGAAAGAGAAAACCTTCCTTGTAAATTAAAAGGTATTGCAAAACTTAGAACGTATTCCCACAAGCTGTAGAGACGGTTTCAGAGAACGTGTTCTCACACGTTGCAGAAGACCGTTTTAGAGGACGTGTTATCACACGTTGCAGAAGAGTGTTTAGAGAACGTTGCAGAAGACTATTTCAGAGAACATTGCAGAAGACGGTTTCAGATAACGTTTCAGAGAGCGTTACAGACCCACTACCAAGTCTTCTCATAACTGCTACAGACTTTCTCCTATAAATAAAGACCACTTCACACTCTTCAGAAACACACCTCTCTCATCTTCTCTTCTCTGATCTTCTTTCTGTTATCCTGAGTTAATTTACTCTTTTGAGAGTTTCTTGCTAGTTTCTGAGATCCTTGGATATTCCGAGAAGTTCCTGTTGTATCCTGAGGAACTTGCGCAATATAATGCGGATAAATCCTTAAGGACAATGATTATACATGTCTCAAGAATAAAGTTTGTTCGTGTCTCTGTCAGCTTTTACAACAGGGTCACCTTGATGTGTATTAATGTAACCTTTAGTATTTCTAGCTAGCCTTTCCATTCCTCCGAAGAACAACCCGTTGCAACTCTAGTAAGTAATAATAACCATTACACGAATGTTACTCAATAAACATGGCAACGTGTCCACACCAGTTGAACATAATATGGTGCTACATGGAGAAGAACTTACCGCGATATTAAAACCCAAGTTCAGCCTAGCTATGACCAAGTGTTAACCTCCCAAATCTTAATCAGTATCAAGTAATGTGTAATACACTAAATTTACAGAAGTTGGTAAGTTCATTATATATAAAAGTTTTGATTGGATGACAGAGTAAAACTATTTAGTAATTAGTGTGTAATGTATTTGTTTATGTGATGAATAATGATGAAGAAAATCTCACCTAGTGTATCATTAAGGTAAAATAAGTTATTCTTGAAAGCCATTCAATGCTCAGACCCACACACAATGATCTTTTTGGGCTCTGGCTGTGTCTTGTTTAGGCAATGATTGTCGAATCTGGAATACCAATCAGAGTTAGAAGCAAAGGACCAGTCTTTGTTGGCAAGAGGGATGACAAATCGATCACTTCCCCAACTTCTCCCACTCTAGTTGAGAATAGGTCAGATGAGTCGATGGATGAACTAGTTTACGAATTAATTTATTAATAATATTTTTATATATATATTTAAAATATATTTTTAATTATATGAATAATTTTTAAATTTGTATTTATTAATTTATATTTTTATTATATAAATTAAAATTTTGATTATATTTATATATTAAAATATCTAATTATAATTAATAATATTTATAATTTAAATTATAATATTTTAATATATTTATATATTTCAACATAGCACAAAAAAATATAAAATTTTTAATTAAAATTATTTTTATTTTTATTTTAATATATAAATATTTTTTTAAAACATATTAGTCAAGACCATCTCATCTTATAAATGGGTTGAACAAGATAGACTAAAACAGGTTCATGAAACCAGTCCGTGAGACCTGTTTTGTCACTATGAGAAATATAGCAAGTCCTTGAACAAACTTGGTGGCCATATCAGGGTCTATGGTTCTTGTTTTAGCCAAGAATGCAAATAAACAAGGTTTGATCATAGAATAGAGGAAATGTGGAAACAGAAGTCATGTGGTTTGGTGTGGGCAAAGGTGATTGATGTAGGATAGGCCTTGCGTTGACTAAGGAGGGTGTGGGGCATGAAATATATGGCGGTGCCATTCTACCATTAGCCTTTTGGTCCAAAACAATATGGGTTGTTGTTAGGAATTACGTGCATGGATTGAATAATTGGATCATCTATTCATATATCTCATCTCTTTAACCAGTACAAATAAAAATAATCATATGATAAAAATGTACAAGTAAAGGATTATTTTGAATGTGTAAGTTTTTTAAGAAAATAAAGTTCTGAATTAGTTACTGAACAACGAAAAATTAATCTATGGATTTCACAAGATTGCCATAAAATTGATAGTAGAAAAATATAACCTAATGTCAAATTGGTCCTTAAATGTTATTGTTGAATAATAAATAGTTAGTTAAACTTTATAATTGTAGGATAATTGCAGATTAACTGGACTCCTTCGGATACTCGTTGGACAAAGTGTAATAATATTGATGGAGCAAATACGAGACATTTGAACACCTCAACATGTGAAGGAATTTTCAGAAATTATAGAACTGAAAACATAGATTGCTTCGCTAGTTCTTTACATGTTGGATCAACTTTTGAAGATGGGCTATGGGAGTTATTTTACAGTCGAGGTTGCTAATTAGAAAAGATGTAGATTCTTTTATGCTAAGTGGCTATGGTGGATTGGTTTCTGCTCAAAACTGAAAACCACGAATGATTTCTAAGCAATAAATGCGCTACAGTAACACCACACCTTCAGTGTAAGTTTCCAATATCAAATGTCAAAATCACATAGAGCATTGCCTGGTCCATCAGCTATATCAATTGCATTTCAATGATCACCACCCAATAAAATGTTCAGAGTTTATACTAATTTGTAAAAGAAAAAGTTGACAAAATTGTTGGCTAAAAATTTCATATGTAACAATAATCCTTATCCACTTTATTTCATCTGAGCCCCACTCAAAAACTTTAGTAAAAATGAGTTCAAGCCTGAACCTATGCTGCAACAATGTGGATGTTTTCCTTAGCCTGAAAAGAGAGGGTATGGTTTATGAACTGCTCATTTGAACTAAATGATTAAATAATCAATCTATCTGATAATGCATCAGCAATTGTGCAGGGTAACTAAAAAATGGAAAACATGATATGCCTCCACAGTCATTAATTTATCTGTGTATCTGTTTAACTGAGAGATGGAAACCTACCAGAGTGTTATTGGAACATCTTGCTATATGCCTTTTTCTCTTGATCACGCCTATCAGCTATCTGAAACAACAAACATATTTAGATTCCCAAAAGCAAGTATATGATGCTTCAATGCTTGTTCAACTCAGATTGATAAATATATGGCAGTTTGTGTTACAGATTATAAAAAAAGTGATTTTTTGACGGAAATAATTTAGTGATTATTTTTCAGATGTTTTATAATCTTTACGGCTTCTAATATTTTGAAAAGTTTAAATAATCACACAAAAATTAAAAAGAAAATAAAGAAAAGTGATTTTTTAAAGGAAAAAGAAAAAAATGCTGTAATAAATGAACCCTACTCACCTTCCTCCTGGCAGCAGCAAGTCCCTTTTTTATTCCAGCTGAAAATAGCAATATATCAATGAAGTTACAGGAAAGTTTAGATTACTGAAGTAGCAAACTACAGTATAAAGTTTAGTAAAAATATCCCTATGAAATCACACCATTATCAGTCTTTGGTACAATAGACCTTATATTCATTTTATCTTCACTTTCTCTATATTTCGCTCTTCCAATCATTTGGATATTAATTTTCATCTTGTATAATTTAAAAGGTTAAATCCATGTTTTAAATAAGAAAATGTGAAACTGTCTTTCAACATTGCATCAATAGCTTGACTAAAATAAACAAGAAATTCAAATGTATTCAGACAATTTCATAACCAACCATCATTTGGCTCCAAGGTCAGTGCCTTCTTAAAGCTTTCAACTGCAGCATCAATGTCATGTAGTGCCATATATGCCTGGTAAATTGTAAGTAACATAGTTACCAGAGTTAAAAGCATCACTCATTAAATACCAATAACACAGACTGACGTAATAAAGCGTTACAAAAGCTCTAAATATTTGAGAGGAAGCTCTCCAGTTACAATGCCAACCTGTCCTTGGCGAAACAAAGCTTTAGCATTGTTGTCTCCCTCACGCATTGCAAATTCTGTATCCAACAATGCTCCTTTAATATCCCCTAATTTCAATTTTGAAGCCTTCAAATAATGACATAACACAAACAATGAGATGGGAAACAGAAAATTCAGTTAATATAATAGTATAACATAGGAACTCCCAACTTACAGAGCTGTTTGTGAAAATCTGAGACTTCGTTTTTCTCAATCCTGAACTTATCTCTGCAAAGGCATATATACCGTAATACACTAGTGTGATCAAAGTAGGTCAAATGCAGTTGTGGCATAAGATAACCACTGCATTGCACTGTTAAGTTAAACAAATAGAAGGTATGGGAAGCATATACCTTCATCAATGCCTTCCTTCTCCCAACAAATATCCAGGTACCGCAGAGCTTTCCGATACTTCCTTAGAGCCATTTTGTAGTCTTGTTTCTACCCAAAAAAAAAAAAAAAAGAAAATTATGTTCTTACTGAGAATTACAGAAAAAGGGGAACAACTATTAACTGACAGAAAAAAAATTATTTCATTCATATCTCAGAAAATGAATATAACTCTTTCAGGTCAGGGTATGAAATAATACATCAGAATAATAATCTGAGATGGACCATGGGAAAGCACCAATACCCTGTAATACTCATTGCCAAAAGTCTTAATGGTGTCAACAGATTTCATCCACCAGTCAAGCTCATCAGGGCTCTCATCAAGGTCTGCTGGCCAATCAGGATAGGTGTCTCCATCTTTGAAGAAGTTAGATATCCCATCATCTTCCCCTTCACGAATTTCTCCACAATCCACAATTGTAACATCAAGAGTGGGACGATCATCCTCTCCGATTACAACATGCTCAATTGATCGGACCACTCCCATTCCTTTAACTACTTTTCCAAATACAACATGCTTACCGTCTAGATTGGAAGTTCGGGTGGTAGTGATAAAAAACTGTGACCCATTTGTATTGGGACCAGAGTTTGCCATTGATAACATCCCTTTCCTTTCATGCTTCAACTCAAAATTTTCATCTTCAAACTTAAGCCCGTATATAGATTCTCCTCCAGTGCCATCTCCAGCAGATATATCACCTCCTTGAATCATGAAGCCTTTAATAACACGATGAAAACAAGATCCCTGAAAATACAATAGAACATTACACGATTTCAGAAATTGACCTTCGAACTAATATCAGATTTATCTCTTATGGAAGAAGCATTATAAATCAAGGACTCTCTAACGCAAGAAATCAATTAAGAAAGTTAATAATAAGAAGACTTTGTTTGTCCTTTTGCTTTATTATAAGCAAAGATTTATATTTATACTACCTCAACAGATAAGTTAAGAGATGAAAACTATTTATCATCCTACTCTAAATCCGTAATCCATATTTTCACAAAGCACAGTGCACACATGAAAATTTTGATTCAGTTGATGTAATGCTGAACCGTCTTCAGTACTAAAGCCAACAGATTCAGAACAGCCTACCAAAACATAGAACAACAGAGCCAACAAGGCAATAGATGCTTGAGTAATATTCTTCCCAATTTTAAGCATGTTTTACACTATATTCTTGAGCAATAAACTAAGAACAGACACCAGAAGAATAATGAATTCCCTGTTGTAGTAGTAATCAAGATAAATAAAGAACAATTTTTATACTACCAATATAACACTAATTAATATTTAAACTATTATAACTTCCAACATCTTTTCATCTGTAATCATCTTTCTGCTTTCCCTTCTGCATTGCTGTGATAAAATTCTATGTTAATCATTATATCATTTTAAAACCAAAATCTGGAACACCAGAAGGTTGGCATATCTCTTGGATATTGTATTAGCAATTGCCATTTATTAAACAACAAGTTGACCAATATTTACCAATAGAAATAATTTATGGAATTTTAAAAGCAACCCGTCCGGGAAAAACAAAGCTTTGGATTGAACAAACAGTAACAACCTCAACATCGATACATGTAAAAGAATCCGTTTGCAGGAAAAATAAAATAAAATTGAATGACTATTATAAGGTATCTACAATCAAAAGAATAAAGCGCATTGTTGTCTTTTCAAACTCTTCTTCTAAAAGTGAGGAAATAAAAAGCACCTTCAAATTCAACACTTGGATTACTACAAAGTCCACATCTTAGAGCAGCTAAAATACTCAAAATCATCGGGACAGGCAATGAACAGGAAGCTACTTGACATGCAGTCAATGCTCCAAATCGAAATATCATGTTTTGAACAAAAAAATATCAATTCTTTCACTCAATCGCATATAGGACTCACTCAGAAGAATTCATGGACAGATGCATAAACCATTTCACAAAGTGCCAAAAAAAAAATCTTTGAGAGGTGAAAAGAGAGAATTGAATAGATGTCGAAGAAGGGCATGTGCATAAAGTGAGAAACGAAAGGTAAGATTAAAAAAATAATAAAAGGAAAAAAAAAGACCTTGAAATGGAGGGGCACGCCAGTATTTGGACCAATGCCTTTCTCACCAGTGCATAGCGCTCTGAAATTCTCAGCAGTTTTGGGAGCAACATCGTCGTAAAGCTCCACCACTATCCTTCCTTCTAGCTCTTCCCCTATGCCAATGTCCAAGAAGCACCTTCCTCTCCCCATCTCCCTCTCTCTCTCTCTCTCTCTCTCTCTCTCTCTGCGATGTGATTCACAGAGATGTTGGCTGCGGTTGAAGTAGAATGCTTACAAGACCTTCTAGACTCTTCTCTGAGGTCAGTCTTCAAAGTTCAATTGGTAACAAACACAAGTGTGAAAAAAAAAAAAAGGGGGAAAAATAATTATTGGGAAAACTAATAGATGCAGATAATAATTGAAGAAATAAAAACAATGAAAAGAAAAGAAAAAATTGGGGTGTTTGTTAAGAGGAGCCCCACTCATTCAACCCTGTGCTTGCTATGGCGTTTACCTTCCTTTCTCAACTCTACTCAACCCTTGCCTCACTGCTACCAGCTTCAACTTTCAAACCTCTCAAATCTATTTTTATTTAAATAAATGTATTTACTTCCCTGTCTGTCTGTAATCAGTATCGTATGGTAACTAGGTAAGGTTGTTGCATTGTTTTCTCAGCTAGACCATCTTGGTTGCCAAATTTGGATATATGTAGGGTCCCTACAGTAAAGGGTAATTTTTAACCAGAATAGATACTCTTTCTCTTTTCTTCCTTTTCTGGTCTTTTAGCTATGATAGAGAGACACTAATCTCTTCAAATGTTGAATCTTTTCAGCTGGTTAATCTTTCTTATTATACTTTATAATAACTACTATAAGATAAACTGATTTTTCACCCAAAAACAAATTGATATAATTCCTCCATATCAAATAAAAAAACTTTAATTGTGTTATAATTCCCATATGTATTTGAGAAGTTTTCGAAATTTATGTAAAGTAAATATTTTTAAACCTATTTAAAAAACTTTAAATATTCAAAGTTTCAAAATGAAATGAGTAATTAATGTTTGAAACTAAAAAGAACATGTTCATGGCTAAATTTGGAATTGAGTCCTTGAATAAAATATGTCCTAACGAACTATGCTACTCCAATTTTTTATAGCCAAAAGTTGTGATTATAGACACTATGCTACTTTGGTAATATAGCTAGGCTGTCTGATTCATTCATTTTTTACCTACTTGGTTGTCTGATGAAACTGCTTGGTTTTGTGTTCCAGATCTTGGACTCCTTGCAGTATAGTAATAAAATATACATGCACGTTAATGTCCCAAAAAAAGTTACGATTGTTCGAGTTCTTTAGGAGCACATTGTATGTAATTATTTATCCAAGCAACCCATTGTTTGTATCAACAATTATTGTTTAAATTGTATTTTATGTTACAAAAAAATTATTATGGAAATTATGGGTAAAATATATAAAATTTAATTAGGCACTTATATTGTCAATCTTAGTATATTAGAGTGAATTTGTATGTAGATACTTAAATTTATATATGGTAAGATAATAAAGTTCAAAAAAGTAAGATAAACAATCTATTTTATAGCATCTATTTTTCGTTCCATAGATTATTATCTTGGCATGACAATTTTCTTAAAAATTAAGAGGAAGAAAATAAATATACTTTCATACGCACATACAAGAATGTTCCGTTTGTTGAATTTATTTATATATTGCTTTCACACACGGTTGAATCCTCTCGTCTTCACCTTCTATATATAGCATCGTTTGCATGGCGTTTGAAGGGTGGTAATGGTTGAAATCCAACCCACTTTGGATTCTTCTCGTGGTTAATTTGTCGTGTTCTCTTTAATCAATTCATGATCGTTGCGAATGAAAACAAAGATAAAATTATTTATATTTATATTTATATTTATATTTTATTTATAAAATAACAACAATGTTATAATAAGTGATAAATAATAGTTGTCTAAATATGTTTTTAATTTACGTAAGATATCAAAATTTCTTTTTAAATATATTTTTATGAAATTTATTAATCATCATGATTTTAGTATTTTTCATACGTTTCTTCCGCTAAAATTTTAAATAAAGGTTTGTAGTATTTAATATTTATTTGAAGGATCTTAAAAGTGTTTTATTAGCTAACACATATATCAATTAATACTATATTGCAGCGTTAGTATTTGTCACTTCAAATAATCATTTAATTTTTTATTTAATATATAAATATACTACTCGAATATCACTTATTTCTTGCACTTTTTTCTGCAAAAAAATATGTATAAGAAATAGTTACAATTTTTCTATAAAAAAAATTAAAAATAACTACAATTTTTTTTCAAAAATTAATTAAAAAAATTTCTGTAAAATTTATTACAAATTTTATTATATTATTTTGCAAATAAAAACCTGTAAGAAATTTGACAGGAAAAAAATTATTTCCTATTACAATATTTTAAATAAGTTTTCCAAAAAAATATTTAATAATATTTTTTTAAAATGGCAGAAAATTAAAAAAATATACATTTGTTTAAAAAAAATGAAATAATAATATATAATATATTTTAATTTATTATTTTTGAAATAATTAAAAATAATTTATAATTTTGGATAGTTATTGAAGCATAAAATTTAAAACTTATAGTCTCTTTAACACTAACCTAGCCTCACAAATATTGATTGTACTTCACCGTTGCTTTAATCACTCGTTAACGTATTCTTAAAGTGGTTTTTTTCGCGTGTATAGCATTGTTTTAACATAAAATTTCATACATACTGTACTTATTATTTTCATGAGTAGCACAGTTTTTGAAAAGTCAAATATTTCAAATAAAATAATAAGAATCTTCAAATCCACAATTCTCTTAACTGCTTGTGATAGGCGTCTATAGAAATACTGAGAAAAATATTTTTTTACATATCATACAAATATATTTATATAATTATATTATTAATATATTTTTATAAATATAATAAATATAAATATATATATATATATATATTTAAATATTTATTTATTTATAAATATAATAAATACATGTATATTTATATATTTAATAAATATATATTTATATCTTTCTATATACATAATAACATAAATAAATTATATATATATATATATATATATATATATATTAATTAAGTATAAATAATATTTCTTTTATAAAAATATATAAATATTTTTATTATATTTTAATATGTTTGGTATAAATATTTTGTTAAAATTCTGTATAAATAAAAATTTTAATTAAATAATTTGAGTAAGATATACTATTTGAATTAAAGTGAATTGATATTTTAGATATTAAATCAATGAAATATGAATAAACAACGAAACATGAATAAACAAGTTAGAAAATCACAAATGAGTAGAATAATTATTTATTAATGATTATAATGTCATATTACAAAACTACAATAGATTTATCTATGAGAAGTTGATCCCCTAAGGTCAGATTTATGTGGACAATGATTTCTTGTGTGACCTGGAGTGTGACAATAGGAACATTTTTTCGCAGATATCCATTTCAGTCCTAATTCGTGTTGACTTTGGACGACCCTTAGAACTTCTTCTTGTTGCTGGGTTAGGGCAAAGTTGTGGGCCTTGATATGATGACCAATAATCTCCGTGCCTAAGCTCCCCAAACAAATTGTCATACACTTTGTTGACTATATTCAACCTGTAAACAGGATTGATGTACATCTCATAATCATGGTGAGCATGTTTGCATGTTGTAACCACATGGAAACATGGTAGATGAAGTTTTTGGAACTTCCCATAATCACACCAAGCTTCATCTAGTCTAACAACAAAATTACTAGCCGATCGAAGTTCTCTTGGGTTGACGATCTCCTCCACCAAGAATCTTGTGCTGCTTCTATCGAATTCAAGTACCTTATGAGTGTTTGATTTTGTATAAGCATCTTGTAAGACCTTTGATGCAACTTCTGAATCATTGTTGTGATTTGCCTCCCTCTTTTTGTGAAAATTTTTTTGCATCTTATGTATGTGGCAATGACCATAGAGGAGATTGGTAAATTCCTTGTTTTCTTTAGGACTGAATTGATGGATTCAGCTAAATTGGTTGTTAGATGACCCCATCTTCTACCATCATCATATGCAAGTGCCCATTTATTCCTTGGAATTTCGTCAATCCAGGTTACTGCTTCTGGATTGGCTTGTCTTATGATGTTGTAGTAGTAGTTTACTCTTGGCTCAGTCATTGCGTATGTTGCATATTGAAGTAATAAAAGTTAACATAGAATAAACAAGATGACATAGTAAAACAATTTAGATAGAATAAAAGTTGTTACCCATATTGACAAGGTCTTTTTTTAGAGCTGCATTTTTTAATCTTCTCATAAAATTTTGTGCAATATGTCGAATGCAGTACACATGCATATAATTACCATCAGTTCATCCACTCTCAGGTCTTGTGTACGCTGCATGAATTGAGTTGTGACGATCCGAAATTAAACACAAGTTATCCTGAGGTGTGACATACCTCCTTAGGTTTTTTAAGAAAAACATTTGATGTAGATGGACCAGTTAGAAGCTGGTTGTATGATTGTACATCAGCTTCCCATTGCCCTAAATAGGTGTTGTTCAAATCAAATGTTTGTGTTGTGGGTTGTCTTTGTGAGTGATGGTGTTGATCTTGGTATTGGTTAGGAACAAAAAGATTACCTCTATGGTAGGTTGTACATATCTCAGTTCCGGCCAATGTTGGATTTGCGTTTTGTATGTCGATTAGCCCTTGTAAATCTTCGTCGTCTTGAAGCGTAGTTGCAGTGTAATACGCATCTGAGCCATAAACTTGGATGGGTATCTGTACGTGATGGTTGAAAGTTGTTCATGGGGAGATCGACCACATTTTTGTAGAACCATTTGTTTGAAATGCTCAAATGTCATTCCTTTATGAATACGCATCATGATAACATTGTTACTACGAAATAACACCCCCGTTTGAGGGCAAGTCACAATGTCACCATCATCAAAAATAATTGCTCGAATGAAAGAATCCATATGAAAGAAAAAATAATAAAAATGATGAAAGTGTAGAAGACTAGAGAGGAGATAGGGGACGTTTGAACTTATGAGGAATTGGTGTGGGAAATGATGGTAAGGTATGAGTAATTGGTGTGAGAAGTGATGATAAAGTAGACTTTATATAGTAATGAGTGGCATGAG